TAAAGAATCCAGTAATGAGAAAACCAGTCGACTTTCTTGTCGTCAATCTTGCTACAAGTGACGCAGTTTTTTCCGCTTTTCTTATTCCTCGTTTTATCGTGATTCATGCCTTTAAGCATCCTCATGGTCAAGCAGGAGACCTGATATGCAAGTTTTTTACTGGTGGGAATTTAACGTGGACTGGGGGTGCGGCGTCTGTATTTACCCTKGTTGCAATCGCATTGGAGAGGTACTATGCTGTGGTGTTTCCACATATGATAAGGCATCGGTTTACTCGTAGTCAAGCYAAGTTTACCTCGATATTAGCATGGCTCGCTTCATTGTTATTGAACATCCCACTGTTTTTTGTTAGCGTCTACAGCGTCGATCAAGACTTCTGTATTGAGTCGTGGGCTAGTATCGATATGTCTAAAGTATATAGCATGATATGGTTTATATCCGTGGGCGTTATTCCGTTCAGTGTCATGGCGTACTGTTATATAAGGGTTATCTATAACTTATGGGGACGGCAAAGCAGAACTACACCTGCCGCACAATTAACAGTTTATAGATCAAGAAAGAAAGTCACTAAGATTGTTCTTCTTGTAACTTTGGTTTACTTGTTCACGTGGTTTCCTTCGCTGAGTTACTATGCTATTGTAGCATATCTAGGAGATCAGTACAGTCTAGGRTCTATCATACATCGTATCAATCAAATATTAACAGCCATCAATGCAGCGTCAAACCCTTTTATTTACGCGTTTCAAAGCCATTCTTTCCGACAAAGTGTCATTCACATGTGGAGTCAAMGAACTGTCAGAAAACACTCTGCTATTGATCCGATACCACTCCAGACTTTCTCTCCTGTAGCTAGAAACATGACGGATAATAGGAGGTTTACAATAACTGCAAGAATATGATATATAAACTCAACTTATATGTACCTATTAAAGAATTCTATAAGAAATCCTGTAATATGCAGTGGTGCCTCTAAAAAGCGTTTAACCTCAGGACGTTCTAAAAAAGCCGTTTAAAGGACTTCTATTGTGACCGTCTAACAGAGGCTGACCGGTTAAGGGGTGTCGATGTACCACTGAATTCAAATGAGAACTGTTCCGTTTTTGATATTTACATTTTAAGCGGTTTTGATGAATTTTTATAATTAATAAAAGAGGAAGGCTAAAACTTGTGCGCTTCGTTTGTTATAACATACCACAGGCAACCCATTAAGTAATGAATGCGTGACGTAATTTAATGTTATCTTTGCAGCAATCGAGAGCGGAGGTGGACAACGGCTTCTCCAGCGAGGTGACATAAATATCGGCAGTCACGTGACGTCCTTATTCCGCATTCGAGCCAAATCRTATGAGAAAGCAAGCGGAGAAAAAAGCAAAGAGTCACGACAACTTACTTATTTTGGTAAGTCACGTGACGGTATTAATAACGTAACGCTCCTTGACGTCAAGTGCTTGCTTGCCTTTGGATGTAACAGTAGAAAAAAAAAACAACTTTTGGACTAATGTTAGACTATTTACTTGCAGGTACATTAGATGGAGGACTTGGSTTTTTACTGCCCATGACTGAGAAAACATACAGACGTCTACATATGTTACAGACAAAACTTGTTGACTGCATCCCACACATCGCTGGTCTTAATCCAAAGTCGTTCAGGTAACGTGAACGCAACGTTGTTGTTGCTGTTGTTACTATTTCTGTCGTTGTTGCAGTTGTTGTTGTTGTTGTCCATGTTATCACATTAACTATTTTTTTTATTGTCATTTTATCGCAATTAAGTCAGTCTATTAACTCAATCTTCAATATTCTAGGATGCTACAGACTAATAAGCGTGGACTCTCAAACCCACATCGTAACATCTTAGACTGGGAACTCTTATCAAAGTTTATCCACCTCGGTTTTATGGAACGACAAGAGGTGGCAAAGAAGATTGGCACCACACCATCACAGGTATGTATTCCAATAGCGTTATAGGCCTAGTTAAGCCCTGATTAGCGTTAATCAGGGTTAACTCTGGCATAGCTTATCCAGGATAACCGCTATTGGAGCTTTGTTCAACCCGAGTAGACCCGAGTATGGTCAGTTTTACGTCGCATTTCACCTGTGATGAGTCAGAGCAATTCAGTACAAGTATTGATTCCTCTTTGATAGAGTCAATTTCGTATGCGTGGGAAACGGACGGTACTGTACTGTAACCGTAATCGTACTGTAACCAAATTCTAGTGCCCCATTGGTTCACAAAAATTGTGCAGGCCAGGTCCGGTAACTGTGCAGTAACCGTGCGGTAATTTCTACCGTGCGTTTCCCACTCATACGAAATTGACTCTACATGTACCATTATAATGTAGCCGACAAGTGTAAGATGCAACGTCTGAATCAGGCAAACCAAAACATTTGCTAGAATCCTTATGGTATAGTAGTCATAAACTGGGAATTTTCCAAGAGTTTTAATTAGTACCAAAAGTACATAATAATGGTTATGTACTTCTGTTAGTACCTGATACAAAGTAGATGGTGTTTATGAATATCATTTTGAGAATCTTGGTGATTTTCCTAGAGTGTGGTCATTTGTTCCTTGTAGGCTAACTGCGAATCACATCCTTATTGAACTTTGTCAAACTTGCAAGCTAAACATTTTACCACAGTAATGGTGTTTCGTGATCAAGAGGTGTTGAGCTGTCTGGTCTCTAGCTTTATTTTCGTGGTGAAATTCGTCCTTTCTGTTATATAGTACCTCTTTTTTCTCTAGTTTTTCTAATCCCTTTTCCCATTCCGTTCATATATTCAGAACTTTAAGAAATAATGAAATGGGAAAGTGGAAAGTGGAATACAGTGCATCATTGAAGTAATAATCCATTTATTCAGATTGAGTGGTCCATTACACTGTGGCAATCCCACGAAGCCTTATCGCGTGAGATGACTTGGTAAACATAGTCACGAGCAAATAATCTGGTTTCCTCTTTCCATTTTGTAGTAAGCCGATAAAACGTTCTCACAGCTCATCATCGTACCGGTGGTTTGTTTGTAGCCAAGTCACGCGTCCCGTGATTAATATTGTGGGTGCATTTAATCGGTATTTTGAATGCACTCCAAAAGTCACTTAGTTGCCGTTGACGACCRTATTGATTAAGGAAGACGGCACTAGAGTTGGTGAAGTACGCATTTCCTGTTTAGTGATCTAACACGCCATTCTCTTTGTTCCTTTAGATCCTAGATGATGTGATGGACGTAGAAAGAGCATGTGACCGWTTCTGATAAGTTATACACATACTCGCCTGTAACGCATCGTGCTGCATGTCAACTATATGCCGAGCGAGGAGAATGGATACTGGTCTAAAGCGTGCCATAGACAGGACAGAACGAACACTGTAGATAGTAAGAACTAGCAAAGTACCTAGYTGGGCACGTTATCATAGTTCTCCTAAAAGCCCCTCAGTATTTAGACCCTTTGGGGACATTTTTCCAAAGGTCTTTAAAAAACTCTTTTTCCAATAACGCGAAAAGTAATGTTTGTCATRTCCCATGATTCCGTCGTTCCCCGTGCATTTATTATGTGTAACGGTTGACCTATACTGTAAAAATAAAAAAAATATGCTTTTGATATTTACGTTTTAATTCAGCATCTGTTTAGAAAGCAATTGCTTAAAGCAAAATATTGATATCGATAACCCTCATCTTACATCATAACCTTTTCAAGTGTAAATCTGATAAGTACAGGACTTGTCAGTATTGATCCATCACATATTCTATGCGTGAGTTGTGCATTCATGTCAGATGACAAACCCTGYCTTTATCTTATATTTACTGATCGACATATCAGTCAYATTCACGCTAGCCTAGTGGTCAARTGTTTATCTAGGTCTTGAAAACGTTTTTTTGTGTTTCTGGTATTAGAACAGCACCAGAGCGGAAACCTACCTTGAGAGAAATTACTTGGTATTTTTGAAGCCACAAAATTGCTGGAGTCATGACCTCCGCTTTTAACAACATTTTCAGGTTTTGCAATGATTTAGTGTAAGCCCTGCAGTAACACAATTCTCGGATATTTGAAACAAATTTGGTTTTCAAAATACATCGATTATCTCGGAAATGGTTTGTAAGGCATAGCTAGTGCTTCGAGTGTTGTGGTTCGTTCAGTTAAACGCTCGATTTATTGCTTAATTGATTTTTTCATAGCGGACAATTAAGATTAATCCTTTTTTGAAAGTCCATTTATTTTCTAGCCTGCGTTTTTTCGGAACTTTATTGCTCAGGAATTTATTACATTTACGCATCTCTTTGACTARTGGAAGGTTTCTCTTATCTATGCACGGAAGTTACGTAAAAATATCCAGAAAAAGATTGATGTTAGTTGATGTTTGGAAGTTGTTTTATTGAGAGATCAAATACCATGCATACCACAAGCGACTATCTAATTGCATGGCCTAACAGAGCGACCGGAGTGACATTACAGCGCTTCTATTAAAACTCGGTATGCATACAMTAATCCGTTCAAACCAATTGTCTCTCTTTGAGGCCTGTTGAGCATTTTCAATCTGACAGAAATATATCAAGCCGTTTAGAGCCATTCTAGTGTCTAGGATAAAAATAATACTTGAAAACGATGTGGTTGTTGTTCTTAACACAGAATAAAATAACGGACGGATGCGGGTTATTGTACACAGAAGGCTTAACGAACCATAATTCCAGGCGGCTAACAACCACTCCTTTGTATACATCACAAAAACAATCGCGCACATTAATTGGCTGTTCCGAACACTCCTGTCCCTTGTGGGCGATTAAGGTTGCTCATAATCAATCCTTAATCAAGCCATCATTTCAGTCAAGCGCAGAGCATGAAGGTCAGTTACAAAGACAATGTGCTACCACCATTTGGTTGTGTCTTTGACGGTTACGACCATACTGGAACCTTCTTGTAACCCAAGAACCGATGATTACACTTCAAAGAGTTAATGACTGCTATTCCGAATGAGGGAACCTGCGCTAAATTCGTCCAGAGATCGGAGACGAAATGGATCACGTGAATCAACATCGAACCCCCAGCGAAGCAGAAGAAGTGGCGCATCTGCGCTTGCGTCGAACGWGAAATTGCGGAAAGTCCAGACCGAAGCAACAGTGTCCGATGTAAAGATGGCGCTCACTTGCAAAGTACAATACCTGGATGACACAGACCCTTTCGCCAGCACAAATTTCCCAGAGCCAACTCGGCCACCAACGTATACTTTCCACTTAAATATTCCGCTATGCCAGCAAGTAGATGGATTACATCGACTGTTATGCGCACCGCACGCAGTACGTACGGGCTTTTCCCATGTTCTTTCCAACTTATTAATACTATACAATCGTGTTATTCTACTGACTGTATGTCTTGTATGGATTTAGATCGACGATGTGGCACTTCAACTATCGCATAATGGATGCTATTTGGAACTGGAAAATACTCTAGAGGAACAAGCAGATTTATTAGAAGGCTTTCTCGATAGGTACGTGGGCCGTTGTAGTTTCCACAAGTGTKTGGTTTTAACGACATGATTCATCAATAAATCGAGATGGTCTGTTAACTTGTTCGCGCGGTGCATTTACATCTATGAGATGTCTTGGCTATGAATGTGGTGTAACTACTCGTAACCAGTTACCCAAGAGTAATTCCTGCCTCTTTTATTTGCAGCCGCAAAAACACAATAATATTACGAACGTCGCTGTCTGTTCGTGTGCATAATTGTATAGGTAAGGTATAATAATATTCTTGTCTAGTATAAAACATATTTATACATTAAAATCACTTTTCGAATCTTATGCTATAGCGGATATTAAGCCGTCGTTTCATTGACAACATAACCTCAATTGTTGTCAGGAGTTCAACCTCTCACTAGAGTTCGATTCACAACTGTTGATTCAAGACGAAGTTTAACTAAATGTTTCAAGCTTTCTCCCTCAGCTGTTCACTAAGTGTTATCCAGCTGTTTGGAGCATTTGATTAGAATTTATTTCTAACGCATGTAGAGAAAGCAAGAGACGGAATTCAGTGCTCTTTTGYTAAAATCATGAACGTTTGACTGTGGTATTCCAAACTTGCGGTCATACAAATGATCTTTCGTTATTAGAATTTTTGAAAGGGTTTAGGAACATTTAGGTATTTAAAACCAAGCGTTGATGTTACAAATTTCACATGTAATGTGCGTAACGTTTCCAGGGGAGCAAACGATCCTTAAAACCATATGATGTTTCCACGAATAATTACTCTTCAGTAGTGATTTGCATAAAAATAGAGTTTCATAATCTCAGAACACCTCAAGTGACCCAGTCCTATGAGGATCTGTTTGTTTAATGATAGATATAGCTTAGCAAAAGAACTTCGTGTGAATTAGAAGCTATGCCGTGATCAACACAAGACGGTAAATCTATACACCGGTGTTAGCGGGTTTCTAGTTTTTAAGCTTTATGTCATCGCATCTTTTAGAGTGCACAAGACCAGTGTGCATTTCATTCCTTGCGTCAAATCCTTGATTGTAAAGAGCCATACAATATTGGTTTTGACCGCTTAAATAAATATTTTACCACGGTCGGTGATCTTGAAACGCTTTTTGATAGCATAACACTACAAATTGTTGAAACGATGGATTTTGGGAGATTCCTTGAGTTGTTTTACTGAAAATCGAATAGTCAGACATGACAGCAAACATTGGTACGACCTATTGGTTGCTAATTAGATTAATTTAGAATTTCTTGATTTTGTACATTTCACYTCGATATCGCTGTGTTGGACAGATAAATTTTGGGCATTATTTTTTGTTAACATATATGAACAAATATTTTCACAATGAAAAATATCATAACAATTACTTTAATTTTGTCAATGGGTTGAAATAATTGTAATGATTGTAGTGTGGTTTTTCTCATGGCCAATATCAAACTCATAGCTATTGTTATAACTGGATTTCCACGTTAATTTGTCATTATTTTCAAGTATATACATGTTATATTAATACACTCAACAGGAATTGTGTAAATTTTCAAACATAAACAAATGTTGCWCAGGATATCTGATTTATTACTGTTACAATATCAAGAATATATTATATGTGTATTTTATAAGATTTTAGCAAGGTTATTGATGATATTTATTATGAATGGAATAGATAGTAATATCAAGCCTTTCTTACGTCTCAAATATTCGATAATTTAGATTTCTTCTTGTATGGTATCACAGTTGTGATCGTCGTTTAGACAATAGTAGTTTTATATATCAATACATGGATGAATAGTGAAAAGTAGAAGTCTTACTCCAAAGATAAGTGACCTCTCAGTCATAATAATGGTGAAATGAGATATCTTGGTGACTTCATGGAAAACGATACCTTATTTTGAGTTATTTGACACTAGCCTTACTGCATTTCAGTTTACAAATGTCAGCCATGACACATGGACTAAGAATTGCTTCATTACTTCTGTTTGATGGATAAAGTTTTTGATTATCAAAAAATCATTTTAACTGAGAAAGGTGATGCTATGTCGACATCTTGATGGGGATACATAATGTTAGATCACAGATTCTCAAAGGTAGAGGACTATTTATTTAGAAATTTCTATGAATAATTATAACTTCTGTTTATAAATGTACCATTTTGTCACAAAATTTGTTAACATGTTCGACGTAGCACTAATTGTATATATGTTAAATATCACTGCAAAACATGCAATTGCTTAAACCAGCTCAAAGAAATAATACTTCCAATAATATCCTTTTAAACTATAATATACCTCAGGATGGTAAATTATGCTATAAATTTCTAACTGAATTTTACTAACTTCTTATCCAGCTGTTGCCTTCACCTTAAATTTTCTCATTTTGAAATTTTCATTTAAAGGGGTTGAGGGGTTTGGTTCTCTCAACATTTTCCAAGGTAGTGAGAAAGAGGTTTTCAGAAGACTTAGAATACAAAATATGACAATAACATTTTTTCCCAAAAACTTGTTAACTCATCACCCTTGTTAAGGTGGCTCCAGAATAATTACTTGCAGATTTTAGTTTTACCAACTCATTATTTTATCTCATTTTTAAGGGTTTTTTTTCTTATCCAGCAAAATATTTGACTTAAAAAGTGTCTAGTTAAGGGGGAGACTTTCATTCACAAAACAAATCATGGTCGGCATTCTCCACGCAAGTAGAATCACCCAGAACTTCATCCTCATCATAGATCATTTATGAGAAAAAGTGTAGGATACTGTCTTTTTATTATTAAAAGTCCAATAATATTTAGTTGTTTTTGCTAAAGTCTGCAATGACTAGCTAACTTATATTGATATTGAAGCATCAAGTTTAAGTTATATCTTGGTTTCCATGTGATTAGTAAGTCAGTTTTTAGAAAAAGAGATTAATTTGACTTCGCTATTTGCTTTGTGATATTTGCTTGTCAGGCATTGGATTATTGCTTTTTCAGTAATTTGAATGTTTTTCTAGAGTGAACTACTTTGCGAATTTTTTGTGGTCTTTCATTATTCCATGGTAACCTGAAGAGCTTTATTTTACTGGCGAGACAATTCATGAATTATTATTATTGAATTTTTGTGGCTAGTACCTCTTAAGAGGTTCAAGACACTATGCTATTGTTGAAGAAGCGTGTGTATACCTATGATTTACATAATTCGGAATAACTTCGTGGTTTTCCGTTTTACTTTTCGTTAATCAATAGCCGGACATAAACGTTAGGCTGCTTTCATTGTAAATATAATCTTTCAAGGTTTTTTTTTTCAATATTTGCGGGTATCTTTATAAACACGAGTAGTAAACCTCCTTGATGTTTGCATGGTAAGGAGCATACAAATTTTAGCGCCAGTTCTCTGGTTTCTGATTGGGTGGATGCGGATATTTTTTTGTGATGTTTGATTGGTTGAAGCTGTTTTATTAATATCATTCAAGGAATTAAATAAGAAATAAAGTGAAAAATGTTCAACAGAGTTTGACAAAGTTARCTTATGCGCAACTCGAATCTGTCTTCATTACGTCGCGACTTTATTGCTCTGTGATTATTTACAAATGAAAGATAAACCGACTGTGGACAACATCCCAGCAGGAGACTGCAACTAAGTGATTCAATGCATTGTATTTTTGAACACTYGAAGAATGCTCCCGACAAAGTGCCCTCAAAATGTACTTTTTAAGTCTTCGGAAGCGAAGGAAAACGTCAACTGTTTGTATTTCGACTTTCTGACAATSAACATTGCCATGGTCTCTGCGTAGCCAGGGTTAAAAAGATGGAAAAAAGAAAYCATTCGAGGCGGTGTATATGCGAGGCTTGCACGGACAAAACTTTATCGCGTAGTAAAATTCCATTTTATACCAACAGCAARAAGTATGGTAAGTGCATGGTATTATTGYAATTACTGGTAATGRTGGCCTTTCATCTGCTCTGATCTTTATCTTTACAAATGTTTTCAGAACCTAAATGATATTGCGTGATTCAGTGCGGTCTGAATTTTGGGGAGCAYTTCCGGTAACCCTGATTCACTTTTTCACCTTTTGCGTCTCATAATGTCACCAATTTTCTCTCAGTTTTAGCGAGTTTTATTTTTTGTTCCTACTTTTTGTTTCTTTTGATGGATATATAAATATATCATCTTAGTTTGTAGAGGAACAACTCCAGTGAAAGTATTTAATCGCACAACACGAGGTAGAGATTAAGAAACATTTTCTTCATACTTTAAATGGATGCCCCAACATGAAATAAACATTGTTAAAACCTAAGATACTCAAAAATCATCCTTCTTTGGAACAGATTTTTTTTGCTGAAAAAAATTTGTAGTATTTCCAAATTACGCTTTTTTACAGGTGTTAAAAGTATTAACTTGGGTATAAACTTAAAGTTTAATCTGAAATCACGAAACATCTCTTCAGTATTTCATATCTTTCAGTAAAAAARCTCTATTGTTGCTTCTCTGCCGTTCTAGTGGTGTAATTGTAAATGTTTAATSAAGGACGAACCTTTCTATGACCGACATGGTCGTTTATCGCAATATCATTTACATTGGGGTACAAAGTTAGCACGGTATGCCGATAATACTCAGAGTATTCCTTCAATCACTGGAATGTGTTGCCAATTATCATATTTCACTACTAAATTCTTAACGAAAAGCCGTCATTTTCTCCATTATCTTTCTATCAGATTATTATCAGGCAATATTAAAGTTTGRTTTGCCAAAAAAAATCGYTAAATGTCGGYYGTTTTCGGTGTGTCTGTGACGTCAATGTTACGTCATAATGTACCAAAGAAGTCCTGGTATTTCCTTTCCACGGTTTGTTTTTGATGTTATTCAGTTTAAGAAGTGTTTGCAATTTAAAAATACTCGTGGTTATTTTTACTTTTAATCGTGAAGAAATGTTAGTCTGACTAGTGGGGTAATAATATCACTTGCTGAATTCATGACTTGACTCTTGGGGTTTTGCGAACGCCCAAGACGGCGACCTAAAAATGGAAAGTTCAACAAAATAAAGTCCTTGTACGAAATTAACAGTTATTTGAAGCAGCCATGACGTAAAGCGAATCACGTATTGATCTTATCGCCTTTTTTGAGCCTTTTCATACGAGGAGGAAATCCATTTTGTGTTTGGATATCTATTTTAGCTTATTTTTCTTAAAAATACATTGTCTTTTTCGTTAAAACATTTCCTTCTCTCTCTCTCTTTTCAGAAGTTAACCTGTATATGCTTTCTTTTTCAGCCAAATTACTTGCAGCTTCTGGACGAGAATTACGAAGAGCACTTTTTTCGCTGAAACAAATTTTCCAGGTCAGTACGCGCATCGTATGTTCATCGTATGCTCGACTTTTCCACTACTTCACTTTGGTTAACCGCTGACTGACCCATTGCAGCCGCATGTTTACCACAATACCACTGCGGTTTTTGAGCATGGGTTTGTCTARACCTTGATTAGTCAGTCAAAAACATTCCTGGATAATAGAAGTATTGTGGTTTTAGTGATTTACTGTTAAAATAGACGGCACCATGAACATTTGTGATTAATAAAACAAATAGCCACAAAAGAGTACGTCATATGAGGTTAAATGCATATAAATTATTGTAAATTATTTSTACTGATGTACATTTATTTTTTAAGGATGATAAAGATCTTGTTCACGAGTTTGTCAACTCAGATGGACTYAATGCACTTATTACAGTCGGACAAGATGCCGACCAGAATTACCAAAATTATATTCTTAGAGGTATTATATGATAACGATGGTAATGTTTAATCATGAATATAATCATTGATAATATAATCAGTAATAATCACCAGAGAATACTATCAAGAGTTGTACAAGSGCGGTTTTCACGCGCAATTTGTTTATGAAAATATTCATATTAAAGACGTTTTTAAACCTCATTTCTGTGTTTTCAGCTATTGGTCAAATTATGCTGTATGTGGATGGTATGAATGGAGTCATCAATCACAATGARACCTTACAGTGGTTGTACTCCCTCACCGCATCAAAGGTCTGTTGACACACGACCATTACTTTCCAGACAAATATCCAATATATGAAGTGCGGTTGACATTGTGGTTTCATGCGCTGTGTATTTTTCATGCTGTCTTAATTTCTTGTCGAGAGAAAGGGTATTTTCTGCGCTTGCGACCTTGTAAAATTGTCCTCATCTGTCATTGTGTTAGATCAATTCTTTTTATTTATCTTTGGTGTTAGTCGTCTGTCTGTTTCGTTTTAACCTCTATTATAACATATATCTGTTGTGTCGTCTTTTAGTATTGCACCGGGACTTATTCCTATTATATCATTGACGTCACATTCAACCTTTACCCGTCTTCAATCATGATATTTCTYGTCCAARGAGGCTGTTAATCTGCAGCGCCGACCAGTCGCTTTCTCACTCAAACAATACATGAAAACTCCTTTTAACGTCAATTCTGTGTGCGAATACTTCATTCTTTATGGTGTAGTTAGAGCAGAGCTCCATGTCCGAAGCCAGAACTGATTTTTAATGACCTGTGGCCATCACACGTAACACATTTGAAAAGGACATTGTTTCGTTACTATTTTTACAGCACAAAGGCAGACATACTAAGCCAATATTAATATTTGTACGTCAAAGAAACCCGGCTATAGTCGAATTGCATCATCTGCGTGACTTTAAATGAATACTTTTTCTCACAGTTTCGTCTGGTGGCCAAAACGGCTCTCAAGCTTCTTCTTGTGTTTGTGGAATACACAGAAAATAACTCAAAGTTGCTGTACGAAGCGGTYCAGGTTGATGATGACGCACAAGGTAATGTGAAATATCTGTGGTTCTTTCATTGCATTAACTCTTAATGTCGCAGTATTTTATGTTCTCTGGGTATATTCTGTACTATTYTATTTCGTGGTTGTGCCTCAACAGTGAAAGTCGAAGTCAAGTACGCTTTCKACATTCGACGTTTGTTAGATTGAGGCCATTCCACCTGTCAAATCGCTAAAAAGGTTTTGACGTTTTCCGCCTGGAATATGGAATAGGACTCTATTATTGGAAAACCTTTCCCAGAGAAATTAAAACGCTGCAGTATTACCAAGTATAAATCCACTGTTTAACATCAGTAGCCCGTGAATAAGAATTAGCAAATCGGTAATTAACTCTAAATGTATTATTCAGTTTCCTTCTGTGACTATTGCATAGCAAATTGATTATTAATTAGTATCAATGACTCTAGGTTTCTAATATTTACTCGTTTGTACAACRTTACGTACAAGTTTTTTTTTCTAAATTATGTTTTCTCTGTAATCTGGATTCTTCTGCAACTATACTAGAGAAGCAAAAGTGAAGCGGAAAGTGTCAGTAATGGCAAAAGCTTTATATGAAGTTTACATGGTTTCATTTATTTAACGTAGCAGAATGAAGATCTGTGTTTCCAAAGATCATTTTCAAATTTGTTAAATACGTTATCTAATGCTACGTCATTGTCTGAATGTTTTATTAGTRATAGACAAAAAGGCCTAGTAGGGGTTAGGATTATATCTCATTAAATCCCAGTAGAGGTTCGAAATAATGGACCTCTTCATTGTTAAACGGCAGCCATCTTGAATCCGAGCATATTATGGTATGCGGAGGCGAAGCATTAATAGATATTAAGTTAGAAAGATACCATAATGGCAAAGTGATCATTTAAGTGACGTATGAAAACCTAGCTAATAGGTTTCAAGACCCCACGGAATTTTGGCAATTATTTTGTCTTTTGGCTTTCAATCCATTAGTATWAATTAATGATTATGGTTGTGTTGTAGGTGTAGGATGGTGGTCAGAGATTGTTGGTATTTTATCCGAAAAGGATTCGTTAGGAGACGAGGAAATCTTAATCTACGCCATAACCCTAATAAATAAAGTAAGTATCCCGCGTAGCATCATGTTATGACTTGTTATTCCATCCATTGGTAGAATATCTATAACTGTTCTGATTATTGATAGGTATTATACGCAACTCCAGACCAAGATACCTTCTATGATATTATCGATGCATTGGAAGAGCAGAATATGGGCAATATTGTAAAGGTTCGTTGAAGTGAGAATTAACAGGGTACTGGACCAAAAGGAAGGTTTATAAACAATAAAAACACGCATTAATTACTGTGCATAACGTGCGAAATAAAATATTGCTTTCAAATGCATTGTTGCGTACTCCTTATGACAATGTGTGCTGTTTTTTCCCCAGATGCATCAAGATCGAAAAGGCACRAATATTGATTTTTTAGAGCAACTTAATATATATGAGGTGAGTATAGGTACCATTGGACAAGTACGCATTACACGGGGACAAGGAGATTTTATAATTTAATCAATTCTTAATGCGATTATAAACATCGTCATAGCAATCGACATCAACGCTACAAAATTAATCATCTTTTATGCCTTAAAATTCAAGTCTTCATTTCGAAACCTTATTGCCATTCTCAACTCCTATTGTCGTATTTGTAACTTATTCGTGTCTTGTTGTAGCCGTATCGTAGGTTTGTCGTTGTCGTTTGCTAGTCCTGTCGTGTCGTAGTCGTGTTGCAGTCGTATCGCATAATCATTCTTTTCCCGGACGTACGAATCGACTGTATATAATTTTTGGTCATTGTTATAGAGTTAAATAATTATTAATAAATCCTGATTGACAGATGTCCATTAGAATTGAAGATGGAGATGAGGATTTACCACCATTCACGAGTTCACCATCAATCAGGTATGACTATGCTGTGATAGTCTTCTTGTAGAATGAAYACGTAATRATACGATGACTTTGTTTTATCACAGGCAAAGACGACGGACATCTGCTCTCGATATTAGTACAGGTAAGTGATTTAGKAGTTTTGTGCTAGATGGTCCTTTCCTTTAATGTGTATGACGTTRCGCAATGCTCGGTGAGTCGGCCGACTRGTCTTTGAGTGTGTTTGCATCTTCAACGACGAGGAGTTCAATTCCTAAAGAAAGTTTGTCCTCCTAGTTTTTAGAACACAACCAACATCTTGATACTTTTATCATTATCAAGTGATGCACTTCACCAATCACTTTATTAATGTCTGATAATAATCTTTAATAYTTTTTACAAATCAACTTCCAGGTGGTCGCCGAAAAAGTCGACGTCACAATTCCGTCAGTAAATTAGACATTACAAGTCGAGATGACTTCCTGCCACGTGGACGATTACCCACAATGCCGGACAGTAGAATGGTCAAGGTGTCGAGTGCACCGGATGTGACGTCACCGTACACCGAGCAGCGTCCTCCCTCCCCTGTCAGGTCTTTAGGAAGCTCRTCACCGTCATCATCGACTCAGGAGATCGACGAAATTGACGAGAAGGAACGCAGCAGGCAAGCAAGAAGGTGAGCTGCATTCTGGGAAGCTGTTCATTCCCCCTTCCTCCTCAATGTTGGGAATTGTAATCAGCTATGTCAATTCAGTCCTCGGACTGCAAAATTAGCTCCAATAAACAAATCATTCATTCATTCAATGTTGTGATGAACTATATCCATTACTTTCACATTGAAAATCTTTTACCCACTATACATGTCGCATACAACGTCTAGAGCGTTTGGTTTCATGGACGTTATTTGTGTTGTCATCCTAAACTGGACATTGTTTTCCTGCAGGGAGAGAAGGGCTGCAAGACGTGCCGCGTTGGGTTTCCCACCAGAACGTGAAAGTGCATCAACACCATCTTTAAACATCAATAACTATTCGACACAGAACGACATAAGAAACAACAATTACACATATCACAATGAAAACAGTGAACGCAAGAAACCAGGWCATTTGGATATACCTAGTACGCAGTCTTCTACAGATGCACCTCTGTCCCCGATCCGGTCTCCCCGAGCATCACCGAGAGCCTCRCCAAGAGCATCGCCGCGGGCTTCTCCTAATGCRTCTCCACAGTTCAACAGAAGAAGAAATAAATTTAACCAACCCGAAGAAAAAGGTATTATTAATCATTATTATCATTAAATCATGATTATCATYATCATGACCTCCTTCGTAGATTAATACAGTCAGTAAAACGACGCATTTATTTTGTGTTGAATTCAAAGTTGTTACTTTACYCACGTAAGTCATTGATTGAAACCACTCGGTCGGTGAAGTTTAGCATCATTGATTCCAACTAATAAAACAGCGACTCTAAAGCCAGAKGAGATATKGAAAAARTGGGTTGCAAACACGAGACTCAGTACACATTTTGCAAAACGATATGCTGATAAAACCATCTTTTGATACCCTGYRGCTATACATAAAGCATCTATTCTATTTTTCATGTACTTTTTTATAATGATCGACAATTTGCCGTCGACAGTCGATTAATTTCGATGTTACTCTTATAGTTTTATCTTGAAAAGGTTTTAATGGCACTTTTAAATGTACCAAAACAGGTGCTGGCAGTAATAGCTTGTAAGGCACAAAAGACTTGATAAAAAATTGATTTATAGAGAAACGTTTGAATGTAAWTTTGTAGATATAATATTCAATGTTTTGGCTATCTCTTTCTGGTTTATTGGTGGATATTGATGGATATTATGGTGGATATTTTGTCGCTGGTTTTAAGCAAAGTGATGCACTGATATCCTGATCTCTGCTGCAACTGAATCTATACAATTGATATTTTAAGATATTTGATATACTTTCGTATGTTTTTCATTAATTTTAAACATTTTCAAAGTGTTTTTTCTTGAAAGCATATTTGATGGAAATWCCCCTCAAGGTATCGTGAAAAATGTAGAAGTATATTCGTTTTCGAGTCATCAACGAACGTCTACCAAATACCCTTTTAGCAATAATACCTTTGACTATAATTAGTTTTACAGACCTTTGTTAATATGCTTTATACTCGCTTATCGGCACATATATGTAACCAATCTTTCCTTACTGGACCAATTAAAAACGGCTTCTATTGTCATGCGCATTGTTGTCACTAGCAATGAATCAAAGTTGCTTTTCGTCAAGGATGAGTTACATGGATGCGTTCGATACTGTTTTTATTCGATGGGAAATCTTAATTGTCGACAAGGTATGAAGGCTTATTCTCAATTATTAACTAACAAACTTCGATTGACAATGTTCTCTCAATGGCGAAAATGACTTTCTTTGAATCTATTTTAATGAAAAAATATTGATGTTTATGGACTATCACGTGGCGTTATTACGTCAAATAACCACCGCAGTTTTTCATATTTCAGGTCTAAAATTCAGAAAAAAGAACCTTCAGTAATCCTAAAAGAATTTGTTGGTTATTCACACAGACGTAAAGCAAAGAGATTTTCATGAATTGTCCAAACAAACCACAATAAAACATTAATCAACGAAAGGACGTTTCCTGCTATTTGTTTCTTGCGCTGCGGTAGAAGATTACTTGATTACCTACTTGGTTGATTTGCTTGCAAACTTCCTATAAACATAATCGATTCTTTTCCTCGATACATGTATACAAACATGCAAAAACGAATTGTAAATTCCATGTTTCTTCACTTCCGAATACTGAGAAATACTAATTGCGGTATTTTGAAATCTTTTCGCCCGCCTTTTTTGTAAACATATATTCCGYCAGTCATTAGAAACAGCCATTGAAGTTTATCAAGCAATTAACGATAGCCTATCAGATGAAAGAACATAGTTTTTTTCTGTTCTTCCAATCAGATCGGGTATTTTTGGTTTGATATAACTCACATGTCCATATAATCGCTTTTTAGTTTAGTGTGTTTTCATAATTTCTGCGTTTGAGAGATATGGATAGCTATCACACTAATAATGTGCAAGTTTTGTTTTGATTTTGTGTATACTACTGAATTGATTCAACAATCTACCTATCTATTTTGGGGTTTGTTTATAATAGTTTTAGTAATGATTCAAATATATCCTGCAACTATTGGTCGAAAATATRAATAAACAGAGTATTATCAAACCATAGCTTTTACTATAAATAMGAGGGTCAAGGAAGCAGCCCTATGGAACCCCAATTTCTTTTTGCGATCTCTCATTTGTGTGGTTTTGTTTATCTGTTCATTCAATAGTTGGCCATGCTGTCTATTTTCTAATGCCATTTCTTTCTTTTTTCAAAGCTGCTCCTTCAAAACCAACTTACAGCTCATGGGAAGAAAGAAGAAAAGCAAGAGAAGACGCGCGAAGAAACGAACACCGAACGACAGATGTTCGAGAACACGAACATCGTACGAAAGATAACCGAGAACCCGAACATCGTACGACCGATAGTCGAGGRCTCTCTCCAAATAAAGTAGAAAATAATACAGAAACTCTAAATGCATCCAAATTGCGGTCTGACGAATCTTCTTCCGATGAAGTTAACCGTATAAATGCTCAAAATGAAGCGTACAATCGCGRGAGTACAGAAATTGTTGAAAGCACGAAAGAGAGTAGTGCCAGTGAAAAAGATGAACCTAAGATTACAATGCGAAGACCAAAACTTCGCGATATCGGGCGATCTCCAAGTGACAATTGCGGGATTCGTTCTCCTCCGTTAGATCGACGAGATAGCGCGGAGAAAAGGTCGAGTATTTGCGACGGTTATAATAAAAAGATGATGCTTTCTATGCTTTACGGGCAGCAATCGACGGACGATTTATTCGCGAAAAAATCCGAAACATCCCCGATAGGGGAGTCGGTTCACGATCGTCGGACTCGTCTGCTTAGTTCGGGAGATCAAGAGAATAATACGGAGAATGCTGTGGATACAGGGATCGCAGGAAACACGGTGCAGGACACCATTAAAAAACTTGATGCGGTCGAAGAAGAATCGAAAGAATCCAATTCACCTGAAGGGGACTTTGAAGGATTGATTCAGCAAGCAAAAAGGAATCTTCTACACGAAAACAAAGAAGAAGAAGACGATGAAGCTACTCGCATAGAAAAGGAAAGACTCGCTGAAGAAGAGAGAAAACGAAAAGAAGAAGAGGAAGAGATTGCACGGCGCGCGGCCGAGGAAGCTGCTCGACTCCAGGAACTTGAATGGGAACGAATGATAACTTTAAAGCGATCTCTTATTATAAAAGACTTTGATTTTACCGACCTCGGCGAAGAAGACGACTTAGATATATTTGAAACAAACGACAAACACGACGAAACAGACGCAAGACCACCTTTATCGTACATTGGAGGACCACCCCCTCCACCTGGAATTATGTGTCCTCCTCCACCTCCGCCAGGGATAATGCCTCCACCACCACCCCCTGGTCCCCCAGGGCCTCCGCCAGCTGGTTTTGGCACAATGAAAGGCACCAACAAGAAGCTTGTGCGGTTRTTTTGGCAAGAAGTTAAGAACTCTCCGCTTATTAATGGAGTGAATAAGACAATATGGGGGAATATAGATAAAGTGGACATAGACACGAAAAAACTAGAACATCTATTTGAAAATAAATCAAGCGCCAAACTAAAGGTAAGGGACAAGTTCTACTTTGCATAGTCCCCTGCAACRTACTGTTCTCGAAAGGCTCGTCTACTTTCAGGTATGACGCCGGGAGGGATTATTCGGCACCAAAACACCGCTGATACNTAATAGATGACTTTTTAACAATAATTTTCCTACAGTAATCTTCGGCCATCTTGGTTTGTAGAAACAGCACTAAAACAAGTTCCATATTGATTGCATTCCGGTCATCAAGACTGCGATCGTAAGGCAACCATGGTGCAAATCTAGACGTATCCTCAAAAGCCGTTTTCGTAGCGTTTTCTTATAATCTTATCACGRTGAAGGCAYGTGAACGGATATCTGTTCTAATAAMGCTACATAAACGGGCTTTGAAACGTTGAGAAGGGTTTGGATTTCATTCATTGATTGAATGTCCTTGACACATGAGAAAAAATAACATTTAAACCAACATTTCGTAGGCTAGTATTTTAGAGTGACAACTCTTGCATACTAAATAGCATAGATTAGACACACAAATAGAGTAATTTAGTGTTTTTAGTGGTGATTATGTTGCACTTTTAGTGTTTGAACTTTGTAAGATAGTTATTGTATAGCAATAGTGCTCGTAATATCTTTTAGAAAATGTTGAGATTTATAGTTTTTTAAAACAGTTTTATAGTTTTTTCCTTGAGATAACAAAACTGATCCCTGCGAAGCCTTGAAGAGTAAGGTGCATTTGGGGCTTTTTGATAAAAAAAAACGATATGAAAATTTGTCAATGATTTGTTTTTCTTGAAATACAATATTGGTAATATATGGGTAGGGTTAGAACGTAACGACTGGTTCTCACGAGCGGTGGATCGAAATGAAACGGGTTATTTTACCTATTTACGGTTTTAATTTGTTGTAATTATTAATATAAAACCATACAAAGAATATGTACATAGTAAATAAGTCAATTATCCCTTTACCGTAATAACTTATTTAGTTTCTCTATAATGAGGGCATCATACCCGTGAAATATATATTAGATTAGAATACCAACCCGTGAAACAAAACCTAGACTACGTATACAAGATACTACTTATTAGTAGAGTAAGGATAGTGTGGTTTACTTAAAGCCATCAAATACACTTTGGGTTGTTACCTCCTTGTTTCTCTTTATTGTGCACGTTTTTCAGTCTTTTCGGTGCATCACACGTTCTAACACTTGCTTGAAAACTGCAGTATCTAGAGTGATTTTCAAAAAAAAATGATAACGATAGCTATATTCTTGATAATTATATAATAAAGTGTAATACAACGAAAGGAGGAAAAAATATGCATAAGTGTATCTATTTTACAGGTTTGATGCTCTGACTTTATATTGTTTCGTTTTTATAGGTGAAATGTCCTCTCTCTTCTCTAGAGATTTTTACTATAATTTTAGATTACACACATTAACAGACAGCAATAAATTCCATTTAAGAGATTCTTATTTTCTAAAAGATTATGAAACTTTATCAATAAAATAAGTTCTGAAGCTAATGAGCTACAACGAAAAACTCGAATACCTGAACTGGCGCATCCATAAACCTACGTACATTGACCGTAGCTGAAAAAAAAAACGTAGTTTACCAAATTCTGATTTAATTTATGATCTTTACATTGCGAAAAAAGAAATTTGTCGCGGATCAAGAATTTGAATAAAGACAATTTTTTACATTTTAGGCGGGATCTGAAATCAAATTGAATGTCTTTTCATTGATCCATGTGGGGATAGTATATTTGGTTGGTAGGAGTGCATAATAATTTGTTAATAATACAGTTAGATTGTCATCTGCTATTATTATGAGATGCAATATGAATAAAAGATTTGATATAAAAAGATCAGTTTACTTTATTCTTGAAAAGTTTGACTTGGGCAACAGTTCAAAATGATCTAGTATCACGACAACAAGCATGATGTGTGAACTACAAATACAAGAAAACACCATGTCATAATTCTGAATATAAAGTATGAAAATTGTTGCTTTCTCAATAAAAACATTCCGAGGGAAAACATCTATCCAAACAGTGGGAGAACATGAATCAATTTATAAAAAAACCTCGGCGAACRACTTTGCGCATGCGCAAGTTAACATTGAAATATCGACTAAAGAAGCAGCTCGCGCTATTTTAGGCGAGAGAACTATTAAATATTTTGKTAATTAAGAATGAKTTGATCGTTTTCAATTSAACAAAAGTGTAAAATGTGACGTGGTGAGATAAAGCAGTTGGTCAAAGTTGGATCCCACATGGGTCAACCGTGAAATGCTCCAYAKTTAACGGACTGGATCCATTGTTTCGGTGCCTTAAACTAATGAGTAAGGAAAATAACGATCTGGGTGACGCCAGATCTACGATCAGTTTCGTACTTAATTTTTGACGGATTTAGAGGTTGCCCTTGGGTGACCCGCTTACTTCTGCGGGATGCCTGTGTTGCAGCGACCTCCACATGAAATCAAAGAAAGAAGAAAACTGGTGAATAGTTTRACGATGTTTTGAAGGCTAAAAAATAATATGCTTRTTAACAAAATTTGTTTAAATTGCTTTTTTGTGTATCATTTACTACGAAAGAGAGTATATAACATTGCCRGGGAGTCAAATACCCCATACGATAGTCATGGGAAAAACACGACGGTTATCCGCTGATCCGTAAGATCGCGTGGGAGAATCAGAATAGTGCTGACTKGGCATAAGAGGATTGTTTTGTGTATATATAACTGTGWCGATGAAATAAGAAAATCGCYGAATCAAGGTCGCAAATTCTGAAAGGAAAATTAAAATGCGTGGCAGGTTTTTATTTTTGTACATTTTGTCACATGACATTTAATCACGTGATTACTGTAATGCAATCACACAACTCTTCGGTCACCGTTGGGAAGTTGTTTGTGGARTATTGGCGAGTTTTTCGGTTGTTTCTCCTTTTTAAGGTATTGTATTTAGTGTTGAACCGCTTCAAAGTAATTGTATTTCCCTTTAGTATCCTCGGATCCGTAGTTAAYKTGAATTTGATMTYAAGAGTGGCTTGTTTTCGCACACCAGAAACCTTTGTCTGCTATTTGTATCGATCTGAAAATGACATTTGAAATCGTCATAATTTATGTTCCTTTAAATCCGTTTTTTACAGCAATTGATGTGTGATCTTTTCGATTTTATAATGATTTATGAGTACACTCTTCGTCTTGTTATATTTGGGCAAATATTCAATGCAGTGGATACTAGTATGTCGAGTAACTTGTACAAAATAGGTTTAGTCTTATAATCCACTGAAGTAAAATGATCACAGTCACAAGAAGAAGGCGTTATGTGTTTTAAGTTCTTGGATAATAAGTTATACAGAAGAACGAGGGATGTGAAAAGTTTACCAGCCACTGAACCATGGCATAAAAATCGTTTACAACTTCAAGCAACAAAGCTTATTAAGTTATCTAAAATTTAAAAAAGTAAACTGAAAATTTGAATTAATTTGTTATTTACTGTTTGTGCTGTGAATTGCATAAGCTTCTAGACTTTTATCCATACTTCGACTTTTTGTTGATAATACTATTCTCGGAATTTGTTGATACTGTATGTCAAATTCTTAGAAGCAGAATAAACTAAATTTGCATATACACTAAAAGCAAGATATAATTCCACGTATTTGTGTTTGTGTACACATTATGAGTGAAAATAACAGTTGATTTATTGGCAGACTTCCTGGTTCTGCTTTTTTCAATATATTTTATCAGAAAGGTTGTGTATGTTGCCAGTATTGTACCAAACAGGAAGTTGATGTTTTCTATCTGTTATTCCCTATATTATTCCAAGCCATATAGAGGTCTAATTCTTATAAAGTAGATTTTTGAATCATAATTATTAGAATTATCAGAATATGAAAGAATGGTTTTCTTTTATAGTGCAAGTCCATCAAAAGTGAAAGTATCTGTTTCATTGGGGAATTCCCCTAACATACAGACGACAATTACATAATGCTACACGTTTTCAGAGAATAAGATTGAAGCGTGGTCGTTGCAATTAAGATTCCAAACTGAGGAATTTGTGTATCTTTGAAATGAAATAGCAAAATACCTCTCGTGCAAAGCAAGGATCATAACTTCATTACTTAGATGAGCTTTTAAGACATATAGTTACACATGTGTAAATTGCAAAAGAAGAGACTTTCATCTTTTCAAATGAATTAATTGTGTGAATTCAACAATACTTTATTGAGTTCAAGTGATGTCTAACCTATCCAATGTACAACAGTCATTATTCTACATTTATAAGCTCAGTCAGTAATTGTTGCTTTTGTTTCCTGTCATAGATGATTTAAACTTCCTGGATTCTCCAACTGTGATATATACAATAAAGCTTATTGGAAATGTGATGTGCTAAAGTCTGTATACATGATGTAAACTTGTGATGATGTAGCATTCTGTCTTGATGTTACAGTAAGTGACACTTACTCCATCTGAAGATCATCCTATCTAGGAATTTAAACTTTATTATGTGAGATCCATGGACTGGCATATAAATATCATATTTGCTATCTCTTGAATATTTTTCATGTCTTTCAATCAATTTTAATTTCCTTCTGTATCTATTTTTCAGGTCAAACTGGTTTTAATAACGATGAGTAATGAACAGGTCTCAATCACAAGAAGGGAATTAAAACAATTKTACAGAGAAATTMGCATTTGTAGACAAGAAAAGGATTTGGAGAAATTAGAACAGCAAGGCAGAGAGTATTTGAGGCATATTAAGTTCAAAAAGAAGTTTGAAATCATCCCATTTAAAGTGTATTTGCAGGAAGTCATTAAGAGGACAGATGATACAAAAGCAGAAACATTTTTAGAAATCCAAAAAGGGTTTTCAAACCTGGAAAAGTATGGAATAAATCTTCTGCAACATCCCTGGCGAAAAGAGTTTCAATCAATTAAGGTTAGTAAATGAAAAATGGCATGTTTTTATATCCTGATGTATTTCATTTGCATTTTTTTGTCCTATACTTGATTCATTCCCTCATTTTCAGTTTTCACAACATTTCCTGCTATGTTTTCATAATCAATTTATTTAATTCTTTCATTTTCATTCATTATTTCATTCTTCAATTTTTTTTTATAAATTGCCTTTCTTTTTTTCCTTTTAGCTTTATTCATCATTCTTCAAGCATGAAATTGAACCTCGAGTACCAGYAATTTTTKCGACCCACATTCTCCAACTTTATGGCTACAAATCTGAAGGGYGTCAAGATATTTTAAAGATTCAGGAACCTATCTCATTAGATACAATAGTTACTACTGCATTTGAATTGTTTTTAGTTACAATTGAGCTCAAGGTTATGTTAGAAATTGCAAAAGAAATTGAACTTTACACTGATAGCTTTACTCTAGATGATGTTTTGRATGCAAGAACTCACACARTTGGTGATGTTGAAGAAGCTAAAAGCCTTTTGCTTAAGGTCAAATGTATATCCACAGAAAGAAAAAGAATCAAACTTGATACRAMTGAGATTCAAAGGAAAAGAGAGGACTCWAAAGATTCCACCAATGGGAAAGATGAACACTTCACTAATGTAAGATCCAGAAGTTTTACTCATGAATTTCCAGAGCAACAAACTTTATACCAAAGACATAACACTTCAAGAGGTGGAAAAGCAGCTTCTACCAAAGTTACACATGTATCTTCAATAAATGGAGTTGAAACTCTTACAAAGACTGGGCACTCTGGTATATACGACTCTGTTGACAAATTAAGTGATGAGGAACTTTATGGCCTGAKTGCCACACCTACATAYGCCAATCATTATCCACAGATCATGGAGACAGCAGAAGAATCAGATTACATTAACATGARTGCTAATGATGACGATGATTGTTATGAGTCAATGGCTCCTCAACCAAACCCTCACATTCCACCCCCAACTTATCATGAAGCTGTCCACCCTCAATTTCCTGAAAACGTTATGGAAGAGTATGTTTTTGTATCAAGTCCAAGTAAACACTCAGATCRTTATGCTGMCATKGCAATTCCTGGAATATCTGGTCTGAATATTAGGGAAAATGGTCCTCRCTATTCAGAGAAAAGGGGAAAAATTGAAAATGGTATTCTACCAGAATCCAAATCACAAAAGCATAGAAAGAAAGAGAATGGAAGTACTGAGCAKATTGCAATGGATGAGTTTGTRTTTTCTACAAGCACAAGCAGAGATAAAGCACCATCAGCTGTAACAACAAGTGTAACSTATAAATCAAGCTCTTTGAGTGGTGGTCAAGTGGCTGGGCAGGGGATTTCTAATACAAGAGTCACAAATACCTATGACAAGATTAAATCTCAATCTAGAGTAACTGGTGAAAGTCATGTAAAATCTAGTAGGAATGAACCACATTCTGAAAGCCGCTATCCTCCATCAAGTTCAAAAACAAGTGATCATTTATCAAGTTATAAGACAAAAGATCAAATAGGATCAAACATTATGTATCCCCCATCTTCCAACACAAAAACTGAGCCACAAAAATCCTCACATGTCTTAGATGATAAACAGAAAACAGCTTACAAAGAACAGCAAGAATACTTGTCAAGAAGAGAATCTCAAAAAAGATATTGTGCAATGTGCCCTAAAGAAGCCACTCATGTTTGTACTACATGCAACAAAGTTTGCTGCAAAGGTTGCAAAAGTGTATTTAGCACACTTCCCTGTGAAGGAGCAAGTATGCATCGCCTTGTGGAAAGAAAGAAATCTGTCAGCACTAACGAGAAAATGATCAAAGATGACTGTGTTAACTGTGGTAAAATTTCAGATTATGAGTGCTACAGTTGTAAAACTAAACACCAAAACAATGGAACAACACAAGAAGTTCCATACCATGATCACGAAGATGTTTTTAAGCAAAGCATACCCAACAGCAAAGAGCAATATAGAGAAGATAATATCAACAGCAAAAATGGACACCATCAAAATGAGAATTGTTATTATTGTGGAAAGGAATCAACTCATGAATGCAACAATTGCAAAATAAAATCATGCACTGTTTGTCATCATGTCAAGGGAACATCATCAGACCCATGTGTGTCAGCTATTGGACATGTATTCAAGCCACTTGCATCAAACAGTCTTGCACAATACACAGAACTGCCACAAGATTTTGATAACTCAAATATCTGCGAGTTTTGTGGATTGATAGCAACATTTATATGTGCAGACTGTCACAATCGTATCTGCAAACAGTGTCNTAATAGATGACTTTTTAACAATAATTTTCCTACAGTAATCTTCGGCCATCTTGGTTTGTAGAAACAGCACTAAAACAAGTTCCATATTGATTGCATTCCGGTCATCAAGACTGCGATCGTAAGGCAACCATGGTGCAAATCTAGACGTATCCTCAAAAGCCGTTTTCGTAGCGTTTTCTTATAATCTTATCACGRTGAAGGCAYGTGAACGGATATCTGTTCTAATAAMGCTACATAAACGGGCTTTGAAACGTTGAGAAGGGTTTGGATTTCATTCATTGATTGAATGTCCTTGACACATGAGAAAAAATAACATTTAAACCAACATTTCGTAGGCTAGTATTTTAGAGTGACAACTCTTGCATACTAAATAGCATAGATTAGACACACAAATAGAGTAATTTAGTGTTTTTAGTGGTGATTATGTTGCACTTTTAGTGTTTGAACTTTGTAAGATAGTTATTGTATAGCAATAGTGCTCGTAATATCTTTTAGAAAATGTTGAGATTTATAGTTTTTTAAAACAGTTTTATAGTTTTTTCCTTGAGATAACAAAACTGATCCCTGCGAAGCCTTGAAGAGTAAGGTGCATTTGGGGCTTTTTGATAAAAAAAAACGATATGAAAATTTGTCAATGATTTGTTTTTCTTGAAATACAATATTGGTAATATATGGGTAGGGTTAGAACGTAACGACTGGTTCTCACGAGCGGTGGATCGAAATGAAACGGGTTATTTTACCTATTTACGGTTTTAATTTGTTGTAATTATTAATATAAAACCATACAAAGAATATGTACATAGTAAATAAGTCAATTATCCCTTTACCGTAATAACTTATTTAGTTTCTCTATAATGAGGGCATCATACCCGTGAAATATATATTAGATTAGAATACCAACCCGTGAAACAAAACCTAGACTACGTATACAAGATACTACTTATTAGTAGAGTAAGGATAGTGTGGTTTACTTAAAGCCATCAAATACACTTTGGGTTGTTACCTCCTTGTTTCTCTTTATTGTGCACGTTTTTCAGTCTTTTCGGTGCATCACACGTTCTAACACTTGCTTGAAAACTGCAGTATCTAGAGTGATTTTCAAAAAAAAATGATAACGATAGCTATATTCTTGATAATTATATAATAAAGTGTAATACAACGAAAGGAGGAAAAAATATGCATAAGTGTATCTATTTTACAGGTTTGATGCTCTGACTTTATATTGTTTCGTTTTTATAGGTGAAATGTCCTCTCTCTTCTCTAGAGATTTTTACTATAATTTTAGATTACACACATTAACAGACAGCAATAAATTCCATTTAAGAGATTCTTATTTTCTAAAAGATTATGAAACTTTATCAATAAAATAAGTTCTGAAGCTAATGAGCTACAACGAAAAACTCGAATACCTGAACTGGCGCATCCATAAACCTACGTACATTGACCGTAGCTGAAAAAAAAAACGTAGTTTACCAAATTCTGATTTAATTTATGATCTTTACATTGCGAAAAAAGAAATTTGTCGCGGATCAAGAATTTGAATAAAGACAATTTTTTACATTTTAGGCGGGATCTGAAATCAAATTGAATGTCTTTTCATTGATCCATGTGGGGATAGTATATTTGGTTGGTAGGAGTGCATAATAATTTGTTAATAATACAGTTAGATTGTCATCTGCTATTATTATGAGATGCAATATGAATAAAAGATTTGATATAAAAAGATCAGTTTACTTTATTCTTGAAAAGTTTGACTTGGGCAACAGTTCAAAATGATCTAGTATCACGACAACAAGCATGATGTGTGAACTACAAATACAAGAAAACACCATGTCATAATTCTGAATATAAAGTATGAAAATTGTTGCTTTCTCAATAAAAACATTCCGAGGGAAAACATCTATCCAAACAGTGGGAGAACATGAATCAATTTATAAAAAAACCTCGGCGAACRACTTTGCGCATGCGCAAGTTAACATTGAAATATCGACTAAAGAAGCAGCTCGCGCTATTTTAGGCGAGAGAACTATTAAATATTTTGKTAATTAAGAATGAKTTGATCGTTTTCAATTSAACAAAAGTGTAAAATGTGACGTGGTGAGATAAAGCAGTTGGTCAAAGTTGGATCCCACATGGGTCAACCGTGAAATGCTCCAYAKTTAACGGACTGGATCCATTGTTTCGGTGCCTTAAACTAATGAGTAAGGAAAATAACGATCTGGGTGACGCCAGATCTACGATCAGTTTCGTACTTAATTTTTGACGGATTTAGAGGTTGCCCTTGGGTGACCCGCTTACTTCTGCGGGATGCCTGTGTTGCAGCGACCTCCACATGAAATCAAAGAAAGAAGAAAACTGGTGAATAGTTTRACGATGTTTTGAAGGCTAAAAAATAATATGCTTRTTAACAAAATTTGTTTAAATTGCTTTTTTGTGTATCATTTACTACGAAAGAGAGTATATAACATTGCCRGGGAGTCAAATACCCCATACGATAGTCATGGGAAAAACACGACGGTTATCCGCTGATCCGTAAGATCGCGTGGGAGAATCAGAATAGTGCTGACTKGGCATAAGAGGATTGTTTTGTGTATATATAACTGTGWCGATGAAATAAGAAAATCGCYGAATCAAGGTCGCAAATTCTGAAAGGAAAATTAAAATGCGTGGCAGGTTTTTATTTTTGTACATTTTGTCACATGACATTTAATCACGTGATTACTGTAATGCAATCACACAACTCTTCGGTCACCGTTGGGAAGTTGTTTGTGGARTATTGGCGAGTTTTTCGGTTGTTTCTCCTTTTTAAGGTATTGTATTTAGTGTTGAACCGCTTCAAAGTAATTGTATTTCCCTTTAGTATCCTCGGATCCGTAGTTAAYKTGAATTTGATMTYAAGAGTGGCTTGTTTTCGCACACCAGAAACCTTTGTCTGCTATTTGTATCGATCTGAAAATGACATTTGAAATCGTCATAATTTATGTTCCTTTAAATCCGTTTTTTACAGCAATTGATGTGTGATCTTTTCGATTTTATAATGATTTATGAGTACACTCTTCGTCTTGTTATATTTGGGCAAATATTCAATGCAGTGGATACTAGTATGTCGAGTAACTTGTACAAAATAGGTTTAGTCTTATAATCCACTGAAGTAAAATGATCACAGTCACAAGAAGAAGGCGTTATGTGTTTTAAGTTCTTGGATAATAAGTTATACAGAAGAACGAGGGATGTGAAAAGTTTACCAGCCACTGAACCATGGCATAAAAATCGTTTACAACTTCAAGCAACAAAGCTTATTAAGTTATCTAAAATTTAAAAAAGTAAACTGAAAATTTGAATTAATTTGTTATTTACTGTTTGTGCTGTGAATTGCATAAGCTTCTAGACTTTTATCCATACTTCGACTTTTTGTTGATAATACTATTCTCGGAATTTGTTGATACTGTATGTCAAATTCTTAGAAGCAGAATAAACTAAATTTGCATATACACTAAAAGCAAGATATAATTCCACGTATTTGTGTTTGTGTACACATTATGAGTGAAAATAACAGTTGATTTATTGGCAGACTTCCTGGTTCTGCTTTTTTCAATATATTTTATCAGAAAGGTTGTGTATGTTGCCAGTATTGTACCAAACAGGAAGTTGATGTTTTCTATCTGTTATTCCCTATATTATTCCAAGCCATATAGAGGTCTAATTCTTATAAAGTAGATTTTTGAATCATAATTATTAGAATTATCAGAATATGAAAGAATGGTTTTCTTTTATAGTGCAAGTCCATCAAAAGTGAAAGTATCTGTTTCATTGGGGAATTCCCCTAACATACAGACGACAATTACATAATGCTACACGTTTTCAGAGAATAAGATTGAAGCGTGGTCGTTGCAATTAAGATTCCAAACTGAGGAATTTGTGTATCTTTGAAATGAAATAGCAAAATACCTCTCGTGCAAAGCAAGGATCATAACTTCATTACTTAGATGAGCTTTTAAGACATATAGTTACACATGTGTAAATTGCAAAAGAAGAGACTTTCATCTTTTCAAATGAATTAATTGTGTGAATTCAACAATACTTTATTGAGTTCAAGTGATGTCTAACCTATCCAATGTACAACAGTCATTATTCTACATTTATAAGCTCAGTCAGTAATTGTTGCTTTTGTTTCCTGTCATAGATGATTTAAACTTCCTGGATTCTCCAACTGTGATATATACAATAAAGCTTATTGGAAATGTGATGTGCTAAAGTCTGTATACATGATGTAAACTTGTGATGATGTAGCATTCTGTCTTGATGTTACAGTAAGTGACACTTACTCCATCTGAAGATCATCCTATCTAGGAATTTAAACTTTATTATGTGAGATCCATGGACTGGCATATAAATATCATATTTGCTATCTCTTGAATATTTTTCATGTCTTTCAATCAATTTTAATTTCCTTCTGTATCTATTTTTCAGGTCAAACTGGTTTTAATAACGATGAGTAATGAACAGGTCTCAATCACAAGAAGGGAATTAAAACAATTKTACAGAGAAATTMGCATTTGTAGACAAGAAAAGGATTTGGAGAAATTAGAACAGCAAGGCAGAGAGTATTTGAGGCATATTAAGTTCAAAAAGAAGTTTGAAATCATCCCATTTAAAGTGTATTTGCAGGAAGTCATTAAGAGGACAGATGATACAAAAGCAGAAACATTTTTAGAAATCCAAAAAGGGTTTTCAAACCTGGAAAAGTATGGAATAAATCTTCTGCAACATCCCTGGCGAAAAGAGTTTCAATCAATTAAGGTTAGTAAATGAAAAATGGCATGTTTTTATATCCTGATGTATTTCATTTGCATTTTTTTGTCCTATACTTGATTCATTCCCTCATTTTCAGTTTTCACAACATTTCCTGCTATGTTTTCATAATCAATTTATTTAATTCTTTCATTTTCATTCATTATTTCATTCTTCAATTTTTTTTTATAAATTGCCTTTCTTTTTTTCCTTTTAGCTTTATTCATCATTCTTCAAGCATGAAATTGAACCTCGAGTACCAGYAATTTTTKCGACCCACATTCTCCAACTTTATGGCTACAAATCTGAAGGGYGTCAAGATATTTTAAAGATTCAGGAACCTATCTCATTAGATACAATAGTTACTACTGCATTTGAATTGTTTTTAGTTACAATTGAGCTCAAGGTTATGTTAGAAATTGCAAAAGAAATTGAACTTTACACTGATAGCTTTACTCTAGATGATGTTTTGRATGCAAGAACTCACACARTTGGTGATGTTGAAGAAGCTAAAAGCCTTTTGCTTAAGGTCAAATGTATATCCACAGAAAGAAAAAGAATCAAACTTGATACRAMTGAGATTCAAAGGAAAAGAGAGGACTCWAAAGATTCCACCAATGGGAAAGATGAACACTTCACTAATGTAAGATCCAGAAGTTTTACTCATGAATTTCCAGAGCAACAAACTTTATACCAAAGACATAACACTTCAAGAGGTGGAAAAGCAGCTTCTACCAAAGTTACACATGTATCTTCAATAAATGGAGTTGAAACTCTTACAAAGACTGGGCACTCTGGTATATACGACTCTGTTGACAAATTAAGTGATGAGGAACTTTATGGCCTGAKTGCCACACCTACATAYGCCAATCATTATCCACAGATCATGGAGACAGCAGAAGAATCAGATTACATTAACATGARTGCTAATGATGACGATGATTGTTATGAGTCAATGGCTCCTCAACCAAACCCTCACATTCCACCCCCAACTTATCATGAAGCTGTCCACCCTCAATTTCCTGAAAACGTTATGGAAGAGTATGTTTTTGTATCAAGTCCAAGTAAACACTCAGATCRTTATGCTGMCATKGCAATTCCTGGAATATCTGGTCTGAATATTAGGGAAAATGGTCCTCRCTATTCAGAGAAAAGGGGAAAAATTGAAAATGGTATTCTACCAGAATCCAAATCACAAAAGCATAGAAAGAAAGAGAATGGAAGTACTGAGCAKATTGCAATGGATGAGTTTGTRTTTTCTACAAGCACAAGCAGAGATAAAGCACCATCAGCTGTAACAACAAGTGTAACSTATAAATCAAGCTCTTTGAGTGGTGGTCAAGTGGCTGGGCAGGGGATTTCTAATACAAGAGTCACAAATACCTATGACAAGATTAAATCTCAATCTAGAGTAACTGGTGAAAGTCATGTAAAATCTAGTAGGAATGAACCACATTCTGAAAGCCGCTATCCTCCATCAAGTTCAAAAACAAGTGATCATTTATCAAGTTATAAGACAAAAGATCAAATAGGATCAAACATTATGTATCCCCCATCTTCCAACACAAAAACTGAGGCACAAAAATCCTCACATGTCTTAGATGATAAACAGAAAACAGCTTACAAAGAACAGCAAGAATACTTGTCAAGAAGAGAATCTCAAAAAAGATATTGTGCAATGTGCCCTAAAGAAGCCACTCATGTTTGTACTACATGCAACAAAGTTTGCTGCAAAGGTTGCAAAAGTGTATTTAGCACACTTCCCTGTGAAGGAGCAAGTATGCATCGCCTTGTGGAAAGAAAGAAATCTGTCAGCACTAACGAGAAAATGATCAAAGATGACTGTGTTAACTGTGGTAAAATTTCAGATTATGAGTGCTACAGTTGTAAAACTAAACACCAAAACAATGGAACAACACAAGAAGTTCCATACCATGATCACGAAGATGTTTTTAAGCAAAGCATACCCAACAGCAAAGAGCAATATAGAGAAGATAATATCAACAGCAAAAATGGACACCATCAAAATGAGAATTGTTATTATTGTGGAAAGGAATCAACTCATGAATGCAACAATTGCAAAATAAAATCATGCACTGTTTGTCATCATGTCAAGGGAACATCATCAGACCCATGTGTGTCAGCTATTGGACATGTATTCAAGCCACTTGCATCAAACAGTCTTGCACAATACACAGAACTGCCACAAGATTTTGATAACTCAAATATCTGCGAGTTTTGTGGATTGATAGCAACATTTATATGTGCAGACTGTCACAATCGTATCTGCAAACAGTGTC